TATGTTAGGCACGAATTAATTTATTGTAACATTGAAAATGACTCGTTCGGGGTCGAAACGTTTGTTATTCAAATAATGAATTTGTTAAATTAATAAATACATATTGGAGCGATATAACACCCAAGCTTTGGTTCGTTGGCCCTTTTTTACTTTTTTTATTAATATTGGAATAATTTGGAGCCTTGACTTTAAATTTTATTTTAATTTTAATTAATTTTTTTATTATTTTAAGATTAATATTTTTCTTCTCATTTTCCCATTCCATTTCGTGTACGTGCGCAACGGGTGGGACGGCGAGAACGTGAGCGATAAGCGCGGGTTGGAACGGCGATACCGCGGGGTGGGGTGGCGAGCCCGCGAGCGCGGCAGCGGCGGCGGCGGCGGCGAGCGCGGCGCGGACATCAGCGGCGGCGCGGTATCCCTTTTCCTCGCGGATCCACAACGCGGTTCCCCACACCCCACGACACCCGCACCTACGACGCCGTTTCCCCGTCCCTGCGGACCCCGCACCCACGACGCGGTTTCCTCGTCCCCGCGGACCCCGCACCCACACCGCGATTCCCCCGTTCCCGCGGACCCGGCATCCACGACGCGGTCTCCCGTCGCCGCGGACCCCGGGTCGGGCCAGCCGGAGCAAGCGGCTTCCCTAGTGATGTAAATAGAAAAAAAAACCAAATTGTTTTTTTTTTTCAAAAAATACGTTTTTTTATGAAAAAAAAACATAAGCTTCGTTTTTTTTTTAAATATTTGTTTTTTTTCAGTTATCTATATTTTGCTTAATATAAGTCAATTTTTCATAATTTTTTATTTTCTAGATAATAGATTTAAATTATCATTATTCAATTATCATCTTTGTAGAACGAGAAAGTCAATATATTGATTCTGAAACAATGTCATATTTTGAAGCAAGGACTTCAATAAATAATTATAATAAATTCTAAAGGAATTTTTAAGGAAAAGATGTTCAAAAAAAGAATTTAAAAAATTCTCCTCTTGTAAAAGTTAAATGTAGGCCACATTAAAATTAATTCTATAGTTAAGTAATTACTATTTACAATTAAATAAATTCTGAAAAAAGTCAAAATTGAATTTGACATGAGTTTATTGCACATTTCAGTTATAAAAATACAGTTTGTAAAACAAATTTACTTTTTTATTTTTAATAATAAGATACTTTTCAGTTTAATCATAATTTTCGTCATTCTCTGAACAGCCTGAACTCTCAAAATTCATTGTAGAAGAGTCTAAAATTGCATCCAATTCATCGACTTTATCATCTAGATTAATTTTTCTTGCACTGAACTCAAAAACAAGCTCTTTATTAAGGTGCTGATACTGCTGATATCTTGAGGAGTAATAAATTGTTGTGAAACTTGTGAACCTTGCAATTTTAAATTATGTGCAATGTAGACAATTTTTGCCGCCCTGTCATTTGTTAGTTTATTTCTTTTAGAAGTGTGTATTGCACCATATGCATTAAAGCTTCTTTCGCAGGCAGCTGAAGTGGCAGGTAGTTTCAAAAATCGTACAGCTATTTTTGAAAGCTCTGTGCTTTTGCACAGACCATTCCACCACGCTGCTGATGAAATTCGATCAACAGTTTGCCAAAGAAACTGTTGGCTGAAAAAGTTTTCTTTGGCTTGAAAGTTGGCCAAATCGCAAGAACATTGTTCTTATCTAAATCCAATATCTTTTTTACTGAATTAAAAATCAACTCTATAGCTTCAGTCTAAAAATAAAAATAATATATAAAAATTAATTTTTTGCATATTAATACGAGAATAAAATTAGTTCCTTGAATATTGGTAATAAATTTTTACTAAATTTGCAAAATTTTAAAAAAAGAAATGCCTCTTTTTCGTTGTCTTGAACAATAAAAATGTATAAATATTCTATAACATAATAACACAAATAAGCAAATATTACAGCGAATTTCCAGTTCATGCAAATAACGTGTCGATTATTATATGTCGGTTTTGAAACAGTTTTAAATTAAAGTTGTAGTACGTAATATCACAAATTAAATTTACGAGAATATTGCAATTATAATAATAATACTAATATTAATAATTATTAAAATTTACACAAAAATATTATTATTAGATATGAATTAGACTTTGATCGAATAAGATTTCTTTTTGCTTATTATTTATATCAATTTTTACTTATTAAATATTATTATAATTTTTGTATACCTACTTGTTCATTTGACGTCAGATCACAACCACGTTTTTTTGGATCTAGAAGATTACATATTTTATGAACGTCGCAAATAGCAAACTGTTCTCTCTTGGCAATTTTTGTTTTCGCTGTCATTATCTCATTCTCAGATAAAGGACAGGATGGTAAAGTTCTATCCAAATGATTTTTAATACTTTGGAAAATTCCAATAACCGAAAAAATTCTAAGCTCATCACTCTCAATAAATTTAATAGCAATTGCTATCGGCTTGAGTAAATCAATAAAATCAATTTACTTTATCCCAAAAACATTCATTAAGAGCATTTTTCTTGAAGATAGGATGTTTCTCAATAATATCTTGCAAGTTTTCATCAATAGCTAATGATTGAATTGCATGTTTATTTATTTGTACGCTTTCTAACGAGCAAGAAATTATTGAACCCCATCTTGTCTCAACAGGTAGTTTCAAAGAAATTTTAGTATCTTTTTGTTTTTCTTTGAATATCGCCAAAAACACATGTGATTGTTTGATGTTTTTTATAATTGTTACAACTTCAGTTAAAAATGTTTTTAGTGATGGTAATTTTTTGATATCACTAAACAATAAATTTAATGAATGGGCAAAACATCCATACGTAAAAAGGTTGGTAGTTTCATTCTCTTGTTTTAAAATTTTCTACGCAGATTTCATATTTGCTGCGTTATCCGTGACAAGCCCAAAAACTTTTTGTGGGCCAATTTTTTCAATTACTGAATTTATTTCTCTAACGATATATTTACCAGTACGTGATTCTTTTTCTGTTACTAAAATTTTATATAATAATGGCGATGGTACGGTAACGATAAAATTAATAATTGAGTCGTTTCTAAGATTGCTACAACCATCACACATTAGAGCAACTGATTCTGCCGCTGCAATTTTTTCGTTCACTAAAGAATTAACTTTTTCGTACTCTTTCAATAAAAGAGATTCGGAAAGTTTATGACGTTTTGGTATTTTAAATGTAGGCCGCATAAATTTAAAAAACTTTAATCAATAATTATTTTCTACAATACTTAAGGGAGCACCACTACCAAAAATAGCTCTAGCTAATAGTCCTTTTGCTTTATTTTGATCAGTTGGCTACATGTTATCAACAAATGATAGTATTTGTTTCTTACTTGTCATATTTGAAGTACTTGCATCTGTGACATAATCTATAGAATCGTCTGTAGAAAAAATTGAAAGTTCCGAATCTTTATCAGTTTTCACATATTTTTGTTTCACACTGTTAGGACATTTTATGCATATTTTTACATGATTTTTCATACGTGAGTCATTTTTTGTAAGCTCTTTACCACAAAAAGTACACTTAATCCGAGGTACTTTTCCAGTATTTTGAATATCCTTAAATAAACAACTAACTTTTGCGGGTTTACGCCCTGAACCTTTACGCTTCGGCATACTGAGGTGAGAGGTCTGAGATATACGGAATATTTACACAATCTCAAGATAAAAGACTAAAGAGTATCGATAAAATTGACAATCGGATAGCGTATACGAGTGCCACTCGCGCTTAGCGACGTGAGCGTCGTCGCGTCGATCTTCGAACTGAGCCCCGTTCAAACAATTAAAGATTGTTTTCAACAAGGATCGTGCCATCGTACTCTCGTGCCTTGTGCCATCGAAATTAGAAAAAAACCAAATTTCTGTTTTTTTCAATAAAAAAAACACGTTTTTTTACATGTTTTTTTCTATTAAAAAAAAACGTTTTTTAACATCTCTAGACTTCCCCCTCCCCGCGGACCCCGCACCCAAGTTTAGGCTAACCGGGCTTCCCGTGGTCAGGCCAGGCCGAAAACGGCCGGCCGACGGTCGTTACGACGGAGGGGGAGCAATGGGGACTGTTAGTCCGTTGCCCCCCCCCTCCCCGGCGTCGGACGAGATGGCCCAGCCGCCAAACCACGCCTGCTCCCCATAAGGGAGGAGGCCCGGCGGCGAGGCCGGCCGCACCTGGGCGGGGGTTGAGGGGACACCGGTCACTCATCGGACAGGAGTCCGTCCTCCTACCGCCTGGTGTGCGCGCGTCCGCTCTGGACATGCACGAGTATGAGTTCCGCGACGGGCGGCCCTGTCTCCTTCTTCCCTCTTTATCCCGCATGGGGCGGAGGGGGGTCGGGGAGGCCGACCGCTGCGGGGCGAGGGAGGCGCGGAGCAGGCGGGTGACCTGCAATACGCCTCTGCTCCCGCGGGAGGGGTGGGGCGGAGGGGGGCTGGTGTCCCCTTCCTCCGCCCGGGAGTTGCACAACAACGCAACTCCGGATAAGACAGGACGACAAAAAATCCAAAGGAGGAGCGGGGCTGGAATGATAAATATCCCAGCCCCACCCCTCCAGGGAAGGGCCTTTCAGGCAGGCGCGGGGGCCGCCCAGGAAGTCATGCGATAATCGTTTCCTGGGCGGCCTCAATCTAAACGCGCTGAGGTCGGATACCTGTGCAGTTTTAGCCGGTAAAAGACCGGCATAACCCCTTCGCCCTCCCCGGGGAGGGGGGGTACCAATGACGGGTTTCTCCACATATAAAAAAAACGGCTAGGCCGAGAATCATCTGAGCAGCTTCTCCCTCCCCGCGGACCGCTCCCCCCGCGGACCACCAGCCATTAACCCCCCCTCGGAGCTCCCTAATTAGAACCGGCTCTTATTAGCTACTGCAATAAACAATCTAGCGCGTTTTCAAGCCGCGTAAATTCCAATATATACATATGTTTGAGCGAACGTATTATCAAGGCGACGTATAAATAAATGAGTATTGTTAAAGATCGTGTAATGTTAACAATTAAAATCTTAAAATCTTAAAACGCTAACAACGGTACAAAGCGGATCTTGGCCCTTTCATATAATATTAGTGTAAATTTTACAATTTTCGGTTGCGTGCGTGCGTGCGTGCGTGCGTGTGTGTGTGGATGGGAGGGTGTCAGTATGTGCGAGAATGTGTTTGCGTGTTGATATATTATGTGATTTCCTAAATGTTTATTATGTATATTTTTATATAAACAATACTTATAATATTTTATATATGAACAAGGAGCGACTGAATTCGATTAATATTTTTTATATAAACAATATTTATATAAACATTTTATATAAAAAATATTAATCAAATTTACATTAAACATATTTATAAAATCACATAATTGACATTAGTCGAATCGACATTGATCAACGTCGATTCAACCAGTCGCTCCTTGTTGTCCTGGGGAGGGGGAAGCCGCTCAGAACGTTCACGGCCTGATCCGGGGTCCGCGGGGTGGGGGAAGCTGCGGAAAGCCGCTCGCTCCAGCTGGCCTGACCGCGGGGCGGGGAACCGCGTCGTGCGTGCGGGGTCCGCGGGGGCGGAGGAACCGCGTCGTTAGTGCGGGGTCCGCGGGGGCGAGGGAACCGCGTCGTTAGTGCGGGGTCCGCGGGGAAGAGGGAGCCACGTCGTTGGTGCAGGGTCCGCGGGGAAGAGGGATACCGCGTCGATTATGTGGGTGTCGCGGGGAGAGGGGAACCGCGTCGCGGGTCCGCGGGGAAGAGGGAACCGCGCTCGCGCTCGCCACCGCCGCCGCTCACGTCGCTCCCGTTGCGCACGGGCCCCACCGTCCCACCTGTTATCGCTCGCGTTCTCTCCCGCGATTTCTCCGTCCCACCCATTGCGCACGTACGCGAAGAGAAATAAGGAACAGTAAATGGAAAATATAATAATTTTCAATATAATAAAGAAAAAATGTTATATTTTACCGAAGAATATAGTTAATAAAGATACTAGACGCGGAGTCGCGAAAGGGGGTTCCATCACAGGCCCCGCTGCAATTTTCTTTCTCTCTCCCTCCCGCGGTATATCCGTCCCACCCATTGCATGATTCTCGCGTGCGATGTAATTCAAAACGATAAGAGAAGGAACGAAAAAATTTAACACATAATGTATATATATTTAACAGACCATGTATATATTTAGCACATAATTAATACATTTAACATATAATGTATAGTTAATACATAATTAATTATGGAACGCATCGTGCACAATATGATCTGACGCGTAAGCTATGAGTTCACATTCAATAAGCGACGTTTTATCATATACCTTACCCAAAATATTTATCGTATTATCTTTATTTACGATACAATTGTGACGTAAATAATCGACGAAATGCTTAAACTTATTACTAACGGCGTCCGTATTTTGACTTAAATTAAAGTATACATGCTCAACGCAATGTTCAAGTTCGAATATAAAAATCATAGTTGACGGTTTCATATACATACAAGTATCATTCAGCGTTAATTTTATAATATTTTCATTATGTATTTTTA